TATATATTAATATATATTATACATATTAATTATTAATATAATAATTATATTATATTATAATATATTATAATACTTAGTTAATAATTATTATATATTTTGAATAAGATGGAAGAGAGTAAAAGAATGATAAAACGATAAGAAGAAAGAAGCACGAGTCCCTATAGTCTTGGGAATGCGACAGATCACAACATTGCAAAGATTTGAAGAAGAAGATGCATCGGATAAACGTGTGTAGTAATTAGGAATAGCTTGCAATTAAGTCGACTAATAATAGTAATACTTTTTAATTATGTTACACTTTATAATTTAGCACATTGTATTATATATATATATATAAAGCATCAAGCATTAAATATTTTGCTGTTAATGAAAATTATAATAGAGCAATATAAAAAATTTGCTACATAAAGTGTAACATTCGAAAGCATTTTTTTTCACTGACGAGATACTATTAAAGATCAGTGATTTTACAAGATTTATCGTGACACGAAACATTTATATATATACATATACATATATATTTATGTATATACATATATATATATATATATATATATATATATATTTATATTTAAAATAATCTAGATCGCGTCTTGAGATTCCGTTCAGTTAGTAAAATAGTTGTATTTTCCAACTTACTTAAGAGGATCTTAAATATAAGAGTGAATTATGAATGCGATGTATTTTTGTGCGGACATTTATCGAAAGGAATGCACGTGCTTCTCCAAATTGAGATGAGGTAAGATTGCAAAATATCGAAGCTTTATGCAATGTGTGTAACCTAAATCTGTTAACGTACAAGTATTAGAGTAACGGAATAAGTATATGTAATTTGATTAAAAATACGTTTCTTACATGAATATTTAATTACATATTTTATTATACTACAAAAAAAAAATCATGCTTGCGATTCTAACAATTTACCGACATGCACAAAATGATGACTTTACCGGCAGTCGAAATATTTGACTACGTAATTCTGGCGTTTAACGCGAATGCAGATGGCGATACTAAACAGCAAAGAAAGATGGCCGCATGAGTGAAACGCGAGGCGCGAAATATTGCATTTCGTATATCGTTCTTTGCGAAAAAAATGTGTGATAGTGTTGTACGTATTCGCGATTAACAGTTCAGTATCGATGAATACTAATCAACGCAAGTATAATTTGTTGTGCATTGGATATCTCTTCAAACTCTGTATATGAATCATTTTCGAATCGTTCTGATCGCACGTTCCGATAACACAGTGATCCAAAAAAAATCGTCGAATATATTTCGTACGATTGGAATGGTGCACAGTATCGAGTGACTTTTAGTTATTTGAAGCGCGACGTATTTTTGTGTGGACATTTATCGAAAGGAATGCACGTGCTTCTCCAATTGAGATGAGATGAAGATTGCAAAATATCGAAACTTTATGCAATGTGTGTAACCTAAATCTGTTAACGTACAAGTATTCGAGTAACGGAATAAAAGATAAAGATTTTGAGATCGTACAAGTTCGTATGATATATATGTATATATTAATATCAATCTTTATTATATATTTATATATTTATTTATTTATGAGTCTTCTTTTTCTTTTTCTGAACATCATTTATTTATTTATTTATTTATTTATTTAGTTCGCTCTCAGTCCTTTAAAATGCAAAAGTAAATATTATAAGATTTAACTTTCGAAAAACGCGATAAAACAATCGAATCATTCGTAATTCATATCATTAGCATAATATACTATGAATTTTCTACGTTATATATTGAATCGAAATTGCGCGAAAGAGGAAAAAAAGAACAAGCCTATGAATAGACATTTACATCCTTTACTAAAAGAAAAAGAAATTAAAAATATCTCTCCATTTTTTCTCTATTTCTTCGGGCAAGTCTACATATATGACCAATATGATTAACTGATTCCATCTTTATATATTTATCATTATGTGCTATTAATTAAAGCCGTAGACAATATTCAGTAATCAAAGTTGCGCGCAGGAAAGTCCATGCGCAGAAACGAATGCGCAGTGGTTCGGCCGCCATGTTGGCGCGTGTCTGCTACGTCATACGCGTCATTGCTACGTCATACGCGTCATACGGGAATCGGAGTCATACGCAGTTACACGGATCGTCGTACGTCCGCATTTTTCGCATCTTTTAACCGTTTTTAAACGAATATCGCGAGTGAACGAGCGTCGAGAGTGTCCAAGGATGATCGTGCGACTTTCATAATATGTCGGTGAAAGTGCGCGACAGCTATTTTTCACAGTTCAGTGATAACGCGATCGCGAAGATGGAGCGAAGTTGCATCGCGTTATTCGCGCCTTTGATGATGATTATCGGATGCGAGCGAGTATCGGGAGTGCCGAATAAAGTGTCGCGCGTTCGCGTTGATGATATCGTGTGAGTTTGTGTGCATCAAGATCGGAATGGGACGTCTCGAGGCGAGCGAATGGAGCGGCCTGTGGAACAGCCGGTGCGTAGATTTGATTTATCATATTTGCGTGCACAATTCGTGCTCATTCGACGCTTATATGCACGCTTATAGCATCGCGATGTCCCGAATTACATTCGGACAAATCGGCGCCGCATCATAATTCGATTCGGTGCAATTCAAATAAAGTCGATCGCGTGAAGATTATGCTAGAAGCGATTTGAAATTTATTTTGTACGCGCGCGCAGTGCTGCACTGTCTATCTCGTAGGGCTGCCAATTGTTAAACGATAAATTTGTTTGATCTAACCTAACCTAACCTAACCAAACCTCTCAGTGCTTTGGATGTCGAATGTAAATATAAGCGTATGCTGCCTGAATTTTATCATGCTTTCAAAAATAATATTTAATTATTTCATTAGTGTATTACATTTTATTACGTAGTATATTAATCGTATTAAATGTGCGACGTACAGTTTTACACATTTTAATGAGAATATAATATAATTGGTTAGGTTAGATTAAATTAAAACAAGCTGCTGTGATTCATTTAACGTAATAGGAATAATTTGACGAATGTGCAGCTATTGAAGTTACATGATATTTGTGGATACATTTTTAAAGTAATCATGAGCGTCTTATCTCATCTTGGTTATATGAAATTAAAATATAAAATATTTATGTATTCCACATTAACATTATTCATTACAAATACTATATTACTGTTCTTATATGTCAATCATATTTCATCGATGAAGCTTTTCATATATTGCAGACAATATGATACTGTGTGTGGAATTTTACACAGGTAATACATGACACCAAAATAATTTGTTCTCAAGTATTGTGCACATTTCTCAAAATAAATCAAATTAAATTATTTTAAGTAGGATCCAAAAATCACTACATTGCCAGGATTGTATCTTATTATCACCTTTTAATATGTGTGCGCAGTATTACATACATAAAATATATAAATTTATTTGAAACGTACAGAAATCTTTATCTTATTTATAATATTTATGATATAAAAGAAAATTGCAACTCTAATGAAACAGAGCGGTGGAATAATTGGTTGATACTTATGCTGGTCTACAATATTTATCCTTTTTTCATCATTAAATTTTTGGTGCTTTTTTTATTATACAGATGTTATCTGTAAATATAGTACTTGTAATGTTGCTTCTGTATCACTGTAAGCATACAAAAATGATAGCATTTGCAGGTAATTATGTTATACTTATATATCATAAGAAAGAGAAAATAAAATTAAAGTTGAATACTGAATGTGCTCTAAAGTAAATCTCATCTAAATAAATAAATGCATAAATGTGCGCCCCACATTCCTCATGAAAAAAATACATAATATTAATTTTTATGTATTATTATTTTTAGATTTTTATTCTTTTAAATTCTCTAGATACACTTTTCATTTCTCCTCTCTTTCTTTCCAACTATTAAATATAGATCTATCATTTTTAATATAGATCTGTCATTTTTAGTGTATATTATTGCAGTAAGTGGAATAAAGAGCAAATCTTTTGGCACATTTAAAATGTACAGGAGTTTTATCTGATGCGTTTTTTTCAATAGAAATATCTGAAAAAAATGCATACGTCTTTTTTAATCTTAGTCTTTCTAAATAAAAATTAGAATAATAAATTTGCAAAATAATTTGCTTTAATATATTTTTATTGCAACATATGAAGCAAAGTGCTCAAGGTGCATCACTATGAAAACATCGATAGAATAAAAAATAGATCGCATACAAAAAAATTAAAATATTTACATTACATATTTGATATTTCTGCAAATATTTCCATTATTTTGAGATTGATTTGTTTCATGATATATTGCAATAATTAAAGTATGATTTCTGATATAATCTGCCATGATTCTGCAGAGAAAGCCAGCTTTAATTCTTTATTTTGTTCAATATTTTTAATAATGTAATAATTAAATTAAAGTTCTATGAAAATATGCTTGAAATACTAAATAAAAAAGATTGTTTCTTATGTACAACCTTATACAGTTTAAGTAAACAAAAAATTATTGTTAATAATATACATATATAAATTGATAATTAAATAAAACAATTAATTAATTAATCGACACAATCCACGTTTTTTTTTAGCTTTATGTCTAACATATATATATATATATATATATATATATATATATATATATATATATATATATATGTGTATGTATGTATCTGCACTATCGGACGCCATTTTTGCTCCATCTTATCTTATTGGGTCTGTTCTTTTCAGCTGTACTGCTGCACTAGTGCAATACGTTAGAAAGAGACAAACATGTTTTCTTTCACTCTAACTAATTGCACTAGTGCAGCAGTGCAGCTGAAAAGAACAGACCCATTGAGATCAAAATTGCGGTACTTTGTTAATCTAGTGACTTTATGTGTGACGGCCATCCTGCTTCAGTAGAAGCAGGATGGCCGTTCTCAAGTTTCTCTCTGGATCTAACCTAATCAGTTTTTTCTTAATTGCTTCGTAAATCTCCTTGTATATTTTTGTTTCTTTATTTAATAAATAATAATAAATAATAAATTTCATTACAGTCATAAAAATAAACTATATAGATGCCTATAGAAATTATGTGCAGTTTCACGTATAGGTGGAATTAAATAAAATTTAATAGTGGGTAAGCAGTGTACATACATTTCAATATTTCGTTATCATTGATATGGTGAGCAATGCAGTCTTTTTCGATCGATTAAATGTAATGTGATCACAGTTATTGTACTTGTAGAGCACAATTATCAACTAATCTTATCAATGTTTATAATAACACAATGGGTGTGGGAATATAATAATGCATCGATAGTTACAAAACTTGAAATATCACTCGTAATCATTTTCGACCTAAAAATTATCGCATTATATAATTAATTATTAACTCTATAATTAATTAATAATTTATTTCAATAAACATTCAAAATGTTTCTCGTGAAATTCTCAATACCTGATAACAAAAAGAACGCTACATGCTTATACTTTGTGTGACTGTGATTTATGTAGATTATTTTTAAAATGTTTAAAATAACTTAAAAATTTATCAAGTTTAATAAAATCTCTAAGATGTATATATATAAAAATTTAATTATTATTTTTTTTCAAATTTGATTATTATATAATATGAAAGAGCTCTTTATTCATATAATATGAAAGAGCTCTTTATTCAAAAAACTTTAAAAGTTTTTAAATTAATTTTTAACAGTTTTCTAGAAAATATACAATAAAGTTAATGAAACACCCTATATAACAATATCATTCATTTTGTGTAGCACATCATATATGTGACCAACAGTATTGCATAAGTTTATACTTTATATATTTAAAGCTTATTTGTTGACACATAAGAGATTTTTTTGTATGTATTCAGTAAACATAATTTTCAAGCGTATGTCTGCTGAACTGAAGACCAAGTATACGGTTTTAATTAGTACTATCGCAGAACTCCAGCTAGTAACAGGTTCAATCTCTCAATGTTGTTCTTGTCTAGATCTGGAGTTTCAATAATGCGATAGAACTCTCAGCCACCCAGAGAATCTGATGATAAAGTAATGATTTACTTGTACAATATACTCTCACGGATATGTAATAGGCCCTAGACTGCTAACACTAATGCAAATGTCCAATTTTCACTGCCATTTGGTTTCAAATTGATTGGACTTTGGTGTCATTGGTGGAAGTGGTATGGCCATACAACGTGCTTAATATGTATTAATCTATGGATTTAAGTTGTACTGGACATTATTTGTTATTATTAGCTATATTTATCATTAATTTACATTTAGAGAATTACAATTTTATACATATATATGTGTGTATGCAATTGTGAAAAATCATTATTATAACTAGAACTCAGATATTTATAGGTTCTATAAATCAGATGCTTTGTCTGGCAGATAAATAATAGAAAGTAAAAAGTCTATTTTACTGTTATTTGTGTAATCATTAGTTATCATCTAAATATCTGAGTTTTTTATTCGCATTTTATAGTATTTTAGCAGATACTTCATCACACATATATACAATGGAAGTTACTACAGAAGAGGCAATTATGGAAGTTACAACATCAAAAAATAATGAAAATAATCAAAATCAGCGTACATTGGATTGCGGAACAATTTCTTGTCCACAACGCGAGAATCAAAATTGGGAGCCACTGTACACAAAGTCAACAGAATTAAATCACAGTATTATGTCTTGTGGGATGCCAGATGATAGTCATTGCAGTGATACTATGGATGGAGAAAATATAACTGACAAAGATGCTTTACACAATGGTTCATATCTAGTGGGAACACCAGAACATAATATAGATATGAATACTACTTCTGATGATTTACGACAATTTGATGTGCTGGATGATCTAGATCGTCATCCAGAACAGAATGATGGTTCTGATGATGATTCAGATACAGATGAGAGTATGGATTCTGATGTGCCAGATGAAGAAATTGAAGCAATGCTAGAAGAAGGTATGTTTCAATGTTTGTATGTACAAATTCAATAAAAGGGACAATTAATTTTGTTTTCGAAATCAGATTATTCTTTATAATAAAGAAAGTAAGATTATTCGATTTTTTTTAAATGTAATATGTAGTTCTCAAATTTTTATTTTACTTTAAATATTATGTATTAGGCTTACCCGAGGAATTTAAAGGAAAAAGGAGAGACAAAAAAGATAGTTTACCCTATGAGGAAAAGGAAAAACTCGTTTTAGATGGTATGTAAGTACATATGTCACATAGTACATAAATTTTGTAAATTTTTGTATCTGTTTATAAATAAATTGTAATCTCGTATTGTATTATATTTTTATTTCCTATATTCACTATATTCATGTTACTCTTATTTTTCTTTCTTTTAGAAATTGGACATAATCATTTTGATGTTCTTCCTGAGGGTTGGGTACAAGTGACGCACAATAGTGGAATGCCATTATATCTTCATAAACAAAGCAGAGTTTGTACTCTAGCAAAACCGTATTTTCTCGGTCCAGGCAGCGTTAGAAAGCACGAAGTTCCTGTAAGTGCCATACCTTGCCTTCAGTACAAAAGAGCATTAATAGAAGAAGAAGAGGAGCAAAAGAAAGAAATGGAACGTGCACCAAATGCTGAAACTTGTAGTCTTCCTAGTGCAAAAATTGAAACTATACAAGAGAATCGTGCGGCTCATTCGTTAGATAGTGAGCAATTGAGAAATTATTGCCAATCTTTGTTTCGTTTCAAATCTATTAAAGTAATGAGATTTCAGTAAGTATCAAATGAGATCATATAAGATGATTTTATTATGGGAAAAATTTACTTTGTCGATATTGATCAATTTTACTATTTTAGATCTTGGTCAGCGCGTCGGAAATTTACGAAGAATAAAAAACACCGTAAGCAACTTGAGCGTCCAACTTTACCAGATGGTACAAAATTAATCACTTTCCCTGTCAATAGTTCCAGTACAGCTGGCAATGGAAGTACTGCTGGAGATGATAATGGACAGAGACCTGCAAAGCATTGGATAATGAATCCATCCGGCAAAAGTTATGTCTGTATTCTTCACGAATATGTACAACACGCGCTAAAGAAACAACCGACATATAAATTTAAAGAATTAGGTACATTATACATTATTTAATAAAATGTAAAAATGTAATTATATATTTAGTATTCATTATTATTATATTAAGTTTATTTGCAAAATTTATTATTAAGATGAAATTGATATATTTTTATTGCAGAAAACGCGGCGACACCGTATTCCGCGGTAGTTTGTATCAATGACATGGAATACGGAAGCGGATTCGGTAGCAGTAAGAAACAAGCAAAAGCTAACGCAGCTCGGAAAACGCTTGAAATCTTAATTCCTCAAATGAAGGATAAAATTTCCGGGGATAGCAGTGGAGATACCGGATCAAATAACGCTAGTCGTACGATAAAAGCATCTAGAGGGAATTCCGACGCGGATCTCTCATTTTTCGACGAAATATCTATCACGGATCCACGTGTCGCGGAATTCTGTGCGAAAACAACAGAGCCTTCACCGCATGCTATTTTGATAACTTGTCTTCAAAGAAACTATGGTTTGGGAGACATGCACATTAATTATTCAGTTAATACATTGAAGCATCAACGGAATGAATTTACAATGACAGTTGGAAAACATGAAGCTACCGTCGTAAGTTTTTCTTTGTTTATATATAAATAGAATTACTAATATTAAGTAAAAAATTATATCTGTACTAAGACATATATATTTTTAAAATCTTTGTTATAGTATAATATATATTATAGTATATAATATTTTGTATATATTTTATAGGTTTGTCGTAATAAGAAAGATGGTAAACAGCGAGCGGCGCAAGCGATACTACAGCTTATACATCCGCATATACAGTCTTGGGGTTCCTTGTTGCGTCTTTATGGATCACGAAGTGTAAAGTCTTTTAAGGAAAAGAAACAATTGGAGCAAGAAATAACTCTCCTACAGGGTAAAGCCGCTGTTAATCAACCAAATCACGCTATTTTAGATAAACTTAGACAAGAAATGAAAAAGTTAGCTGAACAACGCGAAGCAATACAACCTATTGGTAAGTTTGTACCACCAGATTTACCAACAGGATCCGCAGCTAATTTGAATAATGTAGATTTATAAGGAATTAATATTAATATTATTTTAATATTATTTCCATTGGCATAGATAGGTGGGAATATTATTATTATTTAGTAGAGGAATCTTGAGAGATGTGATCTGGCATTGTGCTTATCAGTGTCATTTCTTATGGAAGCTAGCACGCGAATATCTCATTTGATCAGTGAGCGACTTTTCAGAGGTCCTCCGTGGCAATTGACTTTTGCATTCATCAAAGGAGATCCCAACATATCCTCACATATCATGTGTTAAAAAGTGAAGTCTGGATAACTCGATTTAGAGCAGTTGCCCGAAAAGCGAAAGATTCGGATTCTATTTCGGATCCAGTCACTTGTGCCTCACATTTTTCTAGTCTACGAATATTGTTTCCCAGCAATTATTTGTTGAACTGAAAAATGTGTGTGTGCTCTATACACAGGATATACATGGATCTCGTTGTCACAGATGGATTCTGTTTGTTGATCAAATGAGCATATAGTAACGCCTGATCTCCTCCCTTATACACATCCCTATCTTTCTCCCCATAAGAGAGAGAGAAAGAGAGATTTGTGTAGAACAATGAATATTAGAAAGAAATAAAAATATCATATATATGAAAAAGATGTAAGATATATGTATAATACTTTTTAGAAATTATATACATACATGTATATTCGCCTACCATCATGTACCATCATAATTTTTATATAAGTACCTTTATACTATCTTACAATAATTTTACAATAATATATCTTTAAAATATTTTTTCAAGTTACTGAAAAATTAAATGCGTATGCATATCAAAATTAAGATATAATGTTATGTTAAACATCAACTACATTTGGAATTTTGTTAAACATTAACTTCGTTTATTAGAAATGAAATGTACAAATATATGAAGAAACGTGTGTGTGTGTGTGTGTGTGTGTGTCTTTATGATATATCTGAAAATGCATATGCAATAGTAAATGTTAAGGCATTGTATATATGGTATTTAAAAGAGAAGTTAAAAGAAAATACATTATGTAGAGAAAAGGAAAAGGCACAAAGGAAGAATATATATATATATATATATACATATGTCTATTATACTAAATATTAATAAAAAATTTTATTTCATTAAATCGAGATAATTCGAATCGGAATAATTCATTTAATTCGAGATAATTCGAATGATTTTGATTTTTATTCAATCTCATTTAGAAAACATGTAGAAAGCGCACTGTTTGATTAAAAGAGATTGATTTTAGTACATAGATTTAGAAAATGTAAATTTAATGTAATGTTTTTTACTTTATTTTAATTACAGCAGAGTTTCAATAATTCATGATTTACTTAATCCACTATTGATGTAATTATGTATAATGCAATTTATGCATGATTATGATACTGCCTATTTAAGCACCAATCTTAGTTTTGATCATGGAAATTCTATTATAAGAATAAAATTATTTTTAAGTAACAAATTACAACATTTAAAATAATATAGTATATGAAAGAAATAATTTGTAGTAATTTCAATTCATGTCTGTGAATGTGTGTGTATAAATTTATATATGTAATTATATATTGTAAAATTAACTTTCGTACTACATAGTTAAAAATGTGTAAACGCAGGTGCAAATTTAATAAAATTATATTAGAAATTACATATTCCACATTAATGGTCAAAACTGCACATGAAAAGATTAAAACAAGTAGCATACATTTAAATCAAACTTTAGTCTCGAATTAGAATATAATTATATGAGCAGATTATGATTATTAACTTATAATATATACTAGATCATAGTACTTTTCCAGAAAGATATTATTTATTTTTTACAATTTACTAGGTTTGTAATCTACTTACAATATATCATGGACAACATTATAACTTGTCACATTCATATTATTGGTTTATATTTCTAATATTAATCTAAAAATCTAAAAATTATTTATTAGTATAGGTATATGGGAAAAGGGAATATGGGAAAAAGGAATAAATTTATATGTCATATTTGTTATACAAGATTCAACAATTTTAAATTATTGCATTGGTCAATAAACTGCTTACATAGCCATTGAAGCAACAAATATGTTTATAAATATCTTAATTTTATTTAATCTCCCTCAAAAACTGATATTTTTACTCTGCAAAAAATTTAATTTGTTGCTGCCTTGGCTATATCACTAGTATAAAAATCTAAAAAATGTTTACATATTAATATATATAAATAAATCTTTCTTGCTGTATGTACAGCATTAAAATAAATTAATATGGATTTAATCTATATTTAAAAGATATACTCACAAAACACTTTCAAAAGCATACTGTCTGATATAAAGTGGATAAAATATTGATATGCATATATTTATATATATATGATTTCATTACATTATAAAAATTTTCAACAGAACTAGAATTGCTATCTATTTCTTTTCAGTATATCAAATTTTACTTTAATACTGCTAGTTTTATAAAATGCATTATGAATGTTTTATTTACCATAGCTATGAATCACATTAATTTTATTTTGTTATATTGTTATCTGTAATATATAATTCGTTCTACATGCTCTCATATAGTATTTGTTGAACTTGGTTTTTGGAAAACATCACTCTAAATTATTCAAAAATTGATAACTAATGTTGAGATAAATATTACAAGTCCAAGTAATGCAATAATTATATTTTACACTTAGGAACAGCTAATCTTGAATTGCGAGAAAACTCTTTCCTAATTATGTAAGATCCCGAAATCTGTATAACTTTCATTTTGTTATATGTCATTGCAGAAAGATTTCTTTTTTGATTACTTATTAACTTTACATTATAGATAATTTCACAAGATAATGATACATATTTTCATTTTGTTATTAGTCAGTTAATTGGATATTGTGAAGTTTGCTATATACTATATATATATATATAAATGTGTTAATAACTTTTTAATTCATATGATGCTCATTCATATACTCGAGAAAAATAACACTAATATATTTTTATATAAATGTATCACATATTGAAATGATTATACAGCTATATTGATTTGTTTTATGAGTATATTTACAATTACAATATGAAAAGGAAAGTGTACTCACATTTATTTTTATATTAATAATAAATGGCACAAATTCTGAAATATATTAGATTCCATATCGTTTGTCCGTAAAGAATTGTAAATGAAATAGAAAATTGAATACAGAGATATGTCGTTGCTTACAGCTATAAATAGTATATAAAATGTAAAGACAAATACAACAATATACAAGTTCAACATTATCTGCAATGACCAAATGCATTTTTATACATTAAATGTATGAAATAATATTAAAAAACTAATAAAATAAAAAAAATGTATACAAATTGTGATCGAGATGAATTTTTATTCTGAGAAATTATTAAAAGAATTAATTTCTTAAGAGAGTTGTTACTTGAATCATAAAGTTGCAATAAATTAACATTGCATGTTTATAAAATAAAGTAAATTACCAAAAAATAAAATAAAAATCTTCAAAGATTAGTAGTAAATAATAGTTAGATACTTTGGTATATATCATACAATACACATTTAAATCTACACGCACTTAGTACTTTTATAAAAAAACTAGGAATGTTGTCTTCTATTTGTATCGCTATCCTCTTTACATGCATCACAAATATCCTATGTATAAATTAAATTTATAGAATTTCATGCTTAAAAATACAAAAAATAAATAAAAATTATATACGAGCAAAGATTTGGTATACTAAGATCGTGTAGCTAAATGCACATTGTCTTTTTATGCAACTATACAAATATATACATATGATCTTCTCATTCATTATAAGTTTATACTTAAATTTTCAATTTGCTTATTTCATGCACATCTATGTATTCACTATGAACCAGTAATAATGACTATTTTTGTAAGGATCCATATCTATATTAAAATTGTATGGATACCGAGCAGTTAGAATATCTAATGAAAATGAAAATGTATATGAAAAGTATATTTATAAGCAACGTCATCTTTGTGGTTATTCGTCCAATTACTTAAAATTATCCAATGTATTTTGAAGAAATCATTATATAGATGTATCACAGGTACTGCTACCAGATAGAGCCATCTTTGAAAGACTAGAAAGACTTCGTCTGGGACTACTACCTCCGAGAAAGCTGCTGCTGGATTCCGAGAATATTTTTCGGAAGCTGTAAAATTAATACATGTTATATATAAATAGCAAGAAATATATATAATGAGATATTGAATACATACAATTTACGAATACCGGATTCAGAGGATTTTTTCCAGGGTGCATCATCTGGTTCATAAGGAAGCGGTCCTTGCACAGGTGCATCTTTATCATCTTCTGGACTGTAAGATAACATATAAATCATGAACAAAGTGATATAAATTTATTTTAAATAGAAAGCATTGTAAAGCATATCTACAAATAATTTATATAAATTATCACATAATTACACAATATTATTTTAATAAAATATTATATGTATAATTATGTATAATTTTTTTCAAAATTTTATGTAATTTTGTTCTGTAATATATTTTATGTAAAATTTTTCTAATATCTAATAACGTACATTTCAGGTTTCGGTCGATACAATTCTAATTCGTCCTCGAGATCTGAAACTCTTGCTTTTAATTCATTTCGTTCGTGCAAAATCTCTTTAAGCTCAGCAGTCGTAAATCTGGGTCTATCAGGATCGTCCAAATCATAAATTGCTTTATTCGTTAAATCAGGACAGCCTTGTAATTTACTTAAATCCTCGTTTTCTTTTCTAGCCATGCCAAGTCGACCTCGGAGATTTATAAGTTCTCGATTCTGATCTTGCAGCTGAGCTAAAAAGTCGGCTCTCTCTTCTACTAAACCTCGGGCTTGCATTTGCGCCTGTCGTTGTTTACGTTTCAGTTCCCGTCCAACTACAGTAAGCTTCTCTACCTGTGCAGTCAACTACACAATACAATAAAATTGAATGTTTATTTTCTTAGTAGATTATAAAAATATTAATATTAATTTTCAAGTATAGATATGTAGTTTTTTAGACTAAGTGTATTTTTTAATTTTTTGTTCTTTTTATTCCAGCATTATCTATTATATATTTATTATGATAAACAATTCTTATTAGTCATTGGCCAACTATTTTGGAGATAGCATATATCAAATTTCTATCATCAAATTGCCTATATTTAATAGGTAAAACAAAAAGTTTAATGAAACAATTTTTCTGTTCATGTACACATAATTGAATTGTATACAGATATAAGTACTAATTTACATTTTCAATTTCTGCAGTTTTTTGCGATAATTCTCGATCTCTAGCGCGGATCTGATCTCTTTGCTTATCTATCATGGATCTTAAATGTTGTAGAACTGCTACATCAACTTCTTGACTAGGTGTGATAGCTAAAAATTAACATAAACAGTCATTTTATTTGTTTGTATATAATATTTAACAAAACATTTATAAATCATTGGATTAGTAAAGAGTTAAATGGTGTTAGTACTTGTTTGTTTACTGCTGTACTGACTATCACTTTGTGATTCTTGTAGGGCTTCGGCTAATCGTCTATTCTCTTCCTGTAATCTAGTAACCATGGCTACTAAATCACGGGACTCCTGTCTCCAATGTTCTTCAATTTGCTCCAGTTCCTATAAAATCAAATAAATTTAATACACAATAAGAGACATATAATCAAGAGTTCACGAATTATACAAATTATAATGAAATTAATATTTCAATGTAACATAAACATAACAACTACCTTTTCAAATCGTTGTCTATCTTCAGCTTTCCCAATCTTGTCGCTTTCAAGCTGAGAGATCTTAGCGCTAAGCTCTTGCACTGTAGTATTTTCACGTTCATTCTTGATAGCAAGATTTTCGAGTAACTCTAAAGCATTGATTACCTTTGGCATAAGATTGGTCACTGACTGTGCTCCAAATAGATCTATAAGCTTCTCGCATTCCTTTCCTATCTCTGATGCAATGTCATATACGTCGACCACCGACACGTCAGATGCAACAGAATATTCTTCCATTTTGCAAACTGCGTTACTTCTCAGACAAAAAGGCATGAATACAAGTTTTGTCGCAACGCGTTTTACGCATATACCTGCTCAATATTAGGAAACAGCAAGTCTCATAGAGATCTTTCTGGTCAGATAAATTTCACCTTTTTACGTATCTAGGGTTCAAACGTCTCTACGCTCTCGTGATCTCTATGAAAAATTGTATAGATACAGAATAAAGTTACAAATATCACAGCCGACTACACGGAATCTTCATGCACGCACTAGAAGATATCGAGGAGAAAGAAGACTTCTTCGTGGAAATACGCTTTGGACAAGTACGCTTTGGAGCTTGCGATAAATAAATTGCGTAATTTAGGTGTGGCGTTAATTGTCAAAATAACAGCTTGCTCCGCAATCGTGCGATGAATGTTCGCATCGTGCACTCGTCGTTTCTAGATCGAATACCAGCTCGGAATGTACGACACGTTCCGATGGGCGATATCATAGCAATTTCATTCAGAACGTCATATTTAAATCCCGGTCGCATTCATGGGAGATGGGAGGCGCGGAGCAGATGATCGAGATTATTCACGATGCGTACGTGTGTGTGTGCGTTCTCGATGACAAATTCATGAAGCTCGCGACCATCGAGAGAAACGCCTCCTTTCGGAATATCGCGAAACGTCAGGAACGAGGAAGATCGTTCCTCCTGGGTGCATTCGATAATCGTACTTGTAGAATAGATAATTGACCAATCAGGCTGAAAGAAGTAGAAATTTCTTTGACTTAATTGGTCAATTTGCCCCGCGGGATTTCCGAGCGCATTTCTATTGATGTTTTCGTAATTTTGGTCTATTGCACAATGATGCGAAATATAAATCAGGCGACAATTTTCTGAAATATCTCGAACTGATCTTTTTATACATGCATCACGTACACGCAGTTAAAGATACGATAAACGTGATAAGAGACAAGAATGACTATTTTTGCTTTGGTAAGTGAATTTTAATTTTTATTGTTGCCTGCTATTATATACAAGCGAAAGATTAATAATCATTGTGATAAGATATGATAAAATAATATGGGACATATTTAAAGAAAGATATGTTTTTTTATTTCAAATCGAAAAAAATGACTTAATAGTCATTAATATTAATCAATTATTAATATTAATTTCATATAAAATAAAACTTAATTAAATATTAATGATAAGATTTAATAAGGCTATCTATAGGACATTTTGCATAAGAGTCTTTTGATCAAAGCATATCTGTCAGAAAGATTACTATTTTTTCTAATAGATGCAATTTATCGAGTAATTATGAGTCAATGTAAAAAAAGAGAATGTACGACTAATTATTCATATTTTGCATTGCTTCAATATACGTACGATTTTTCAATAATTTTTCGAGCACTTACACAAATCCATTAACTTCTTGCTTTCTCCCTTGCCAATTTGTGTTATACAAATTTGTGTTATACAAATTTGTGTAAAAAAATAGTACTCTCACGTAAATTTTCAAATAAAGAAAACGGATTGTGCAATACATTTAAACTTTTGAAATTTTAGAAAATTTCTCAACTTAATTTTATACATATAAGGTCAATTTTTCCCGTTGAAAAAATTTGAAATCATAACTTATTGCAAATTTTTAATATTTAACGATAAATTGCGAAAAAACATTCTAAATTATAATATTGTGTCAATAAAATGTAATGTATTCTTAACACGGTACCTCCAATCATAAAATTAACATACTTAAAGTTTTATGATAATTTTCAATCAATAATTGCGTATTATGCAATACATAAATGCCATATTCAAGAAATACAACCAATTTAAAAACACATTTAAAATCATCATCATAGAGAGTTTCAAATAGTAGAATTGAAGTCTCCACGGTGAGAGGCTTCACTCAAAAAAAATTGCTGGCAAATATATATATATATATATATATATATATATATACCTATATATATATACATACAAAAATTAAAGGTGGATGGCACTTATGAAACAAATGGTCATAAAGAAAACAAAACGCGAAATTTAAAATATGGGGCCAAAGATTGATGATCATTTTTCGTATGGCCAAAATAATCAAAGTATCAAAGACATAAAAACATCAGAATATGAAAAACAAATTATAGAAAAAGATAAAGAAATACGATTTTTAAAAGAAAAATTAAAATTAAAAGAAAAAATAATTAAGCAGTTAACAAGTGAATTATAAAATATAAAATGGATCAAGAAAATAAAATTCATCAATTGGAAAACATCGCGTATGGTGTAAAATTCGACCAAAAACCTCAAGAGAGATTGAATAAATAAAAGAGTAAGTAGATTTTTATAAATGTATGTACTTTGCTTCGTAATTATACTTCTTAATAAAACTTGTTTGTTTTTTATTTGTAAATTGTAATGTAAATTATATATATAGATGACTGCACATTCAAGTCAGTAAATCAGATGGGTCAGATGCAATAAGCTGTAAAGGAAAGCAGCGAGGAATAAAACAAGAATATCAAATGTATAAGAATATCAAATGCTTTATCTCTCGCTGCTTTCCTCTACAGCTTATTCTACCTGATCCATCTAATCTATCTGATTTGCTGATTTCAATAGTGTAATCATTTATATAAGTTATATTATATAATCTACAAATAAAAAACAAACAAGTTTTATTAAGAAGTATAACTACAAAACAAAGTACATACATTTATAAAAGTCTATTTACTCTTTCGTGTCGTTTGGGGTTGCGGTCTTATCCGGCAAAATACGTGATATTTTCCTCCTAATTCATGTTTTTACATAATATTTCTTTTTCTTCGTTCATTTTATTTTTTATTGTTTGCAACTCATTTTTTAGTTTGTCAATAATTTTGTTTTTTAACTTTAGTTTTTCTTCTAAATTTCGTATTTCTTCATTTTAAAAATTTTTTACTTCTTTATATTCATCAGATTTTGAAGCGTGGCATAGACACCGCACTAGTCACGAAACCAAAGGCCTCGAATTCGATTTCCGATAGAACCGAAAAATTATACGTTCGCTCATCTTTCGGAAGGCAATGGCAAACGTAAATAAAAAATAAAAAAATAAACAGCAGTTTTATAGAATTATATAAATTTAGGAATCCTCAGGGAAAGGCTTCATTCCATCTGTTTTCCTCTGAAGGCGGTTTATCGCAGAAACAAATTCTGGCCTTATGTTAGACTCGAATCCGCGATTCTTCACGTGACAAAGAGCCTTGATACAGCCACATGCCAGCCCAGAATAAGTGATCAATCACTCCGGCTTTGTCTCACCAACGAGCAAATTGTATGACGGGCATGAGGCGAGCTAGTGACGATTTTATATCGCATTTGTTAAAGAACATATTTTTTTTAATAATACTTTTTTTATTTAAAATAACATAATATATCTGTATTTCAGAAATGCTTGTAATTTTTCTTTCGCCTTACTTATGTGAATGGTAACCATAGAAATTTACTTTGTTGAATCGTTAAATGTATCGTATTCCGAATACTTCTACAAAAGTGAAAATATTACATATAAAGTTGCCGTGTTTCAGGGAGAAATAAAAATAAATATGAACGAAGAAGATGTCACGATTTCGATTATTCGAATGGAGAAACTTTTGGCCGGAATTTCTAGTAAGCTAAAGGAATTGGTAATAAAATATTGTATATTTATAACACAGTATATTATATCTTATTTAAATAGATCAATTTTTCCCTTTAAAATTATCTTTTTATCAATGTTTTTTATTTGACAAAGTATTTTATCTTATTAATTATGTTTAATTATGTTTTATTTGTTTAAATTATCTCTTGTCTTTTATTGTCTCATCATTATTTAATAGATGGAAAAACGTGATATTGAAACTTCGCCGTTACTTCAAGAAATCATTGATCTCATTGAGCTTTTCAAAAAGTTTGTCAAATCTCGGATGAAAAGGACTTCTGAAGCAGAACGTATGCATGTTATCAATATGCACGAGTGCCGAACAAAAATACCGGAAAACTTGTCGGAACTTGAAGGTAAAATATTCTCTTTTTTAAAATTATATATTTCTTAATTATTTAGAGCACATTAACTTATACGTCAACTGACAGTTTTGCAGAAAATATTTGACGAACAAAACTCGAATTTCGAAATTTTTCTAAAAGATATTGTTGTTTGCGTAAATGATGAGGAAGAAATAATAAAAAACATTCGACAAACATCAGAAGTAGAAATACCAAGAGAAATGTATTAAAATCTTTATTATTATTTAAATAAAAATTATATTTGTTTAATGTAATAATTTTATAACAATATTTTTGTAAGCAATTTTATAATATAACTTTATTTTAGAGAAGAATCAATGCGACAAATGGTAATTGTAGGAGAACAAGAAGAAACGCGAAGAAAGTCATTGGAATCTGAAATAGATTCGGCAAAACGCAGATTATATGATATAATGGAATTTAATGTGGTAGCCGAAAAGAAACTTTTCGACATATGGTGAATAAATTGTGATTAAAATTTCTAAAAATCACACGATTCAATTTATCATCCGATTAATGAATTACAATTTTCAGTGCTGAAGTCGAGCAGAAATACGTAGATCTCCTTGCTAAATATGATCGTGATATTGGCGCATTTCACGCTTTGACAGAGAAATTATCCAAGGACAAGGAAGATATTAAAGCAGAAACGAATCATATGGAAGTAAGTATACTATGATCTCTGTACTCGATGTGCAATTCTACTGTATCAATGGCATGATTTTTTTTACCAGGATCAATTGAAAGTACAACGAATATTATACATTCGATTCAAAAAACAACGAGAAATCGCGCTGATGATAGCCTTTACAAAGAAACTAGACTTCTTTAGGCAAAATCGTGCCGCCAAAGTTATTCAAAGAGCATGGAGGGCATATTACGAGCGTATCTCTTTAAGAAAACGAAGAAAAACGAGGAAAAAATAATCGACTTCATTAATCTGCTTTATATATCTTGGTATGTATTTACTTCAACCTTGTTTTATATTTCTAATTTGATTTTGTAATGTAAATGAAAAAATAATATTTTTGACAGCTTTCGCGATAAGAAACGAGTATGGTGCGGAAAATAATATTTTTTTCATATTAAATGCACAATCTAGTATAAAAATTGGACGAAAGGAAAAAATCAACGTTTACTTAATAATATTTTGATATTTTTTTATTCACTTAGTTGACAAAGCATAGCCGCTCCCCGCATGATCCAGTGCTCGGGAGGCTTAATTGTGGGTATCCATATGGCTATGACAAAGTTCGTGGAGTGACCCGTAGTAGATAACACTCCGCGACGTTCACTAGTTTTATAAAGCGGACAAACGTATGATTGTCTTTCCTTGATATCCTGCTTCTTCATCGGTTTCAGCCACAACTGTAAAACAAATATATCGAAGCAAAAAACATAAGCTTTAAAAATGATTAGAATTTTGTCTCTAAAACATGTGTTCCCATAAAGTCGTTTAAAAAAAATAAGAACATTTTTCGAATGCAACTTTTTGCATTTTCGAGTTTCATTAAATTTTTTATTAACTTGAATGGATACTATTAATTATTAGAAAAATAAATATCTATATATCTTTTGTTTGGAGAAAAACTAAACTACTTACAATAGGTACATTGTCGTGAAGCACTTTAGGGAAGCTCTCTTCTATGCACATTTTCTTCATGTCAAATCTCGCACCATCCAAAAATAGTCCATAAACGTAAACACCATCCTCGGGCATGGACGTGAAGACAGTTTCTTTAAGGACTATAAAATCATACGCGAGAAGATCTATAGGAATCTGATACTTTCGCGCGTAATTTTGCTGTACCCCCGTCAAAAATGCTTGAGTGAAAAAAAATCCTGATAACCAAATTGTAACGGGCGGTCCTTCCTCGTACCATTTCTGCATTATAATTAATTTATAAATTATAATTATTAATTATTATTTTATATATGGAAATCAACACATTTCAAATTCAAAGAGTAAAATACTAAACATAGATATTTACCTGTAGAAACATTAATCGATGTAGAAAATCATTGATATAACTGCCCAAAGGCTTTAAGGATGGATAAGAATTTTGTTTCCACAAAAGCGGTATCTTACTCATCAAAATTGCCTCGTAAATATCTTCAAGCTCGAAAGACATTGCAATTATACCTAAATGCAGAGCATTATGATAATATAATTTTTTTATATATTTAATATTAATTGCAACAAAATTTCTCATACATTATAGAGTTATTTATTATTTTTATTCTTTTTTATTTGAAGCTTGAAATTAAAAAATGCAGGAAACAATTACTCTCTTTCCTGTTTGTATTTTTTTTTATAATTTGAATTAATAATCGGCAATCAATTTCACGTATGTTTTTTTTTAAGAATTAATAAATGGATACCTTTGATAGCTTTTCGTACATTGATGAGACTATCTCTGATACAACGTAATAATTTGTTGAATCTGTCCATTTCTTGCACTAGTACAGTATTCATGCTTTCGTTGTATAACGTAGGATATTTAGCGAGTGCTATAATGAGATCGTAATCATCTGGAAGTTTGTCTAAGATTTCTGTCGCGACATCGTAAACTATCTCGTCATCAGACGCTTGTCTTAATCCAGGTTTGATAGCTTCCTAAGAAAAAAATATAACAGAATATTCTTTATTATTTTTATTGAAATTGATCTGGTCCATTTGGAATTCCATTTTAGATTAGACTTAGAATTCGGGAAGAAAATTCACACCTGTAATAACAAACTATTATTTTAAAAAAATGTTCGAAAGAGACATACCTCTCTCCTAATTTTCCAAAGATCCTAGATATTCGAGCGGTAAATAAAAAAAATATAAAATTTACTAGTGATAATTAATTAAGATTGCATTGTTTTTATGACAATATCATTACATACCGTTCGATCCTAATTAATGTTGGATGAAATTAAAAAAAAAAACAGATGAATAGATGAAATGTATAATCATTAATGTATTATCATTATTATTTAGGTGAAAAATTACCTGAGTAAGCAACAATGAAGTGAATAATAAATCCGTTTCTTGTTGATCTTTAAGAATGTCGGCATTTTCGTTCATACCGAATACGCTTGGCTCTGTAATTATTGGAAGTTTTCTCGTATACGTGAGATACGCTTCGTATTCTCTGACAATCGGGCAGTAGTAAATAGTGGACGATGGATCAAAATAATATATTTTATCGGCCAAGAGCTCTCTATATAACGATATAAATAATAATCTCTTGATCTATAAATATAAAATTACATACCTTACTGATACTCACGGACAGTAAAACTTTGCCAGGATTGTAGTTAACGTTCTGCGATCCCATTCATCCGTAACTCTTCCTCCGTAGTTGCATTCGCCCGTGAGATACTTCAAAGCGTCGAACTGCACATCCTCGTAATCATCCAGAAACATCTTCAATTGTAGAACGCTGATCCTCAGGTCGGTTTCGTTGAATTCATAGGGAATGTTCCAACCGATCGGACCGAACTTGCGTCTTTCTTGCACAACAGCGTGAAAGAAGCACAACGAATACAGGAGTTTCTTGAAGTATTCGGTCTGAATGCAACCTTCGAAGAATTCAGAATTACTGATCGGATCGCTCGCGTAAGATTTCAAGATATTGGGTCTAAGTCCCTTAGGTGGCTCGTTCGTTATCTTGATGCCATTCTGAAGGACCGAGATGGGAAAATGTTCTGACGGATAACTGGTCAACCACAGACGGAAATCAGGATGAATCGTATCGGGTATCAAGCCCTCACAAATCTTCTCGAGTCTCGGCATCCAGCTTTTGGCCAGGTGACAATTTTGCAATACTACCCAGTTGCCATGTTGAACGCCGTTCTTTATCAAACCTTCCGCTATAGGTCCTTGACCTGTCGACGAATAATAGCGCTGTCAATTTTTACAAGAAATCTCTCTGATGCAAATATTTACCTTGGCCGAGGGACAAGTAGAAGAGACGCTTAGCACCGTAGCCTTGCTCGTCGGCGAATGTCAGCAAGGCTTGCGCTGGATCGGCGCCGGGTGTCAAGACGAATATTAATGGAATGCAACAGTTGGAATCTGCGAAGGAGGATTCCAAATCGAAAGGTGGTGCTTCTGCGTATTGTGCGCCTAACTCTTCTACAATATTTGAAAAGAATCGATATCTGTTAAGAAATCTCATTAATTTATATAATTTGTGTTTTATACTTTCAACAAATAATTGTACAGCCGAGATAATTTTATCAGGCCGGATACATCGTAGAATTAACAATCGTTCGAATAAATTTATATCTTTGTATGGCGACGGAAAAGGTCGTTTTTGTGGTTCTCTCGAATCAAATATCTCTTTCCATTCGCTGATGGCTTTGGAGAAAGATTCTCTGATGCCCTACGAAATTAACATGTGTATTCTACGAATATTGATTATTGCGAGAGCGTGACTATGCAGTAATTTACTTCGAATCCTTTGATATTATCCAATCTGCATAGCTGGTCCCATTGTTTAACAGGTAGCCATTCTGCGGGATTGACATATGGATTTTCTAAACCTATTCCACCGGTTAGCAAAAATAACCACTGACTCGCGGTTTCCGGCGTATCGCTCATTTTGTGTAGATTGATGACGAGAAGCAATGCGAAAAGTAGCTTATCCTTCTCAAACAACGATCTACAAATATTGACGTAAAGTAAATATGTAAAATATTTGGTCAGGTCTTTCAGACGTTGCTCAACATTGTCAGCTGGATCCGTATTGGTGATAGCCATATTGTAAAGATTTACAAACCAAAGTAACGAATATTGATACATTGGATCTATATTGGCTAAAGACGCTGCAAAGAAAAAGAATTATTCGATTAAGAAATATCTTATTTTTTTTTTTCTTTATATTATATTTTTTGTATTATTTTATATTAATATTTTTTATATTTTTTTACATTATTTTTTTTATTTTCAATTATTGCAATACCTGTCGTGAAGAATAATATGGTCGAATAAGCTGCAATAGGTTGATATTGAAGTCTCGCGGTATCGATCGATTTTTCTGTGACTTCCGTGGCCGCTTGCTTTACTTGGATATCGTCACTTAAATTTTTGGACATCATCAGGATATCGATAGCTTCCTCGTCCTCTAAGATGTTACCTTCCGCCATAGAAAGTACTTCCAAGATTTTATCTTCTGTCTCTTTCAACATTCTATAGAATAAAATTACGAGTAAAAATAGAATATAAAATACTAGATATAATGTAACGAAATAGAAATGTACTTTTTATTTTCAGCACCCTGCACGATCAAAATATTCTTCTCTGATTCCAAGTCGGGTCTTTCCCTCGCAACCACGATACCGAGTAACTGATCTTCCAAACCACTTGGTGTTATCATAAAATTTAATAGAGTTACTCTCACGGCTATTTCCGGCAGATAATGAGGATTTCTTAATTTTGTCGTAATGTATAGCCTGTCAATATCATAATAATCATTATTTTATATTTCATACACAATGAATATATTTCGTCTTGTTTATAATTATATTTTTTAAGATCTCAAGTTAAAATGAAATATATTCTATACATGTATAATTAGAGCGTACCTGAAATTAGTATTATATTCTACTACGGTATCGCCTAATTTTATACACAATGCACCGGCTTGCTTGAACGTCTGTTTGAGAAGTATCGGTTCGAGAATGGCGTCTAATTCTTCCTCCACATTTTCCAATAGTACCGGCTGTCCAAATTGTATCGCGTTTTCCAATATCCTTATATAATCGTGTTGACTCAGCCGAATAATGCTTATATTATTCTTTCTCTCCAAGTTTCTGATCCATTTATTAGCTTGGCTCTGAGGATCTATCATTAACGGCCATCTTCTGGCGTTCCTAAAAACGCAGGATTGCACGATGCAAATTTATTATTCGGAATTAAAATCGACTCACATAACGATGATTCCGTTATCGATGGAAAACGCATCGGCGGGTAATCCGGCGATGTTCCAGGATCTGATCAGAACCGGATCGCCGAGTACCTCGCGCAGCTGGAAATCATGGCTGCAAATCATTTGCAGATTCGTGCACAGGTTCACCCATTCACTTATCTGTTGCATGCGAAACGGCATGGTGAACGGACCCAAGTAAGCCACTACTCCTGAGGC